AAAAAAAAAAAAAAAAAAAAAGATGAACTTATTTGGAAACAGGGTTGTTGCAGATGTAATTAGTTAAGATGAGGTCATTGGAGTGGGCCCTAATCCAATATGAATAATGTCCTTACAAACAATGAAGTTGGACACAGAGACAAGCACACAGGGAGAATGCTATACGAAGACGAAGGCAGAGACTGGGGCACTGCTCCTCCACACCAGGGATTGCCAGCAAACCACCAGAAGCTAGAGGAGAGGCATGGGACAGATTCTTCCTCACAGTCCTCAAAAGGAACCAACCCTACCAACACCTTGACCTCTACTTCTAGCCTCCAGAACCGTGAGAAAATAAACTTCTGTTGTTTAAGCCACTCAGTGTGTGGCACTTTGTTGTGGCAGCCCTAGAACACTAATACAACAGTTTTGGAGAATAGTTTGGCATTACTTTGTCAGATTGACCAGGTGCATATTCTTTCACTCAGCTGTCCTATTTCTAGGTACACATCCTAGATAAATGTGCTTATGTGCCCAAGGACATATCTATGAGAAGGTTCACAGCAGCATTCTTTAATTGGTCAAAAGAATACACTGTTAAAAATGTAACTGTCTAACAAAAATGGAATGGATAAATGAATTGTATTGTAATTATGCATATAATATAATATTATATAGCCATAAAAATGAATGAAGCAGAGCTACATATACCAACATAATACAAAATTAGTCTCAGTGAAGAAAACAAAGTACAGAAAGGTATACATAATATGACGACATTGATATAAAGTTTTAAAATATGCCAAACAACAATATACATGATTTAGCGATTCATACATATGAAGGAAAGAATAAGGCCATGCATGAGAATTATAAATTCCTAATAGTGAAAAACAATTCCATTGGAGGGATGGGTATAGGATACCCTCAGGGAAGGGGAAATGGGGGTTTCAACTGTTTAGGTAATTTTTTATTTCTTAAGCTGGGCCACTGGCACATGCGTATGTATTTTATTATTAGTCATAGCTTAAGTATTGTGTAATAAATTCTGGGAATTGGAGAGGTGGAGATAATCAATTAATCTTGGCATAAGAGTAGCTAGAAAGTATCTAGAAGGGTCGTAGACTTAACATTCATGGGGCAGATGCAGTTTTTAAGATCAGGTGAGAAAGAAGACTGTGAATGAGGAAAGACTAAGCATTACGGAGAAGACAAGTGAGGAATGGAGGCTCCCTGGTGTAGGAAAGAGACAAGGGAACCAGGGAAGTCCCTCCCTCAACTGAAGATTATGTTCCGGAAGGAAGACCATGTCAGGCAACCTTCCTCTTGGCTTCGGAGGCCTGGAGAAGAGCTTCTTTCCAGTATCTGAGAGATGCCTCCTCCTTCCCTATCTGCCAAGCTGTAGATTATCCCATCTACCCCATACTCACACTCACCTGGACAGAGGTCCAGCGAACATCTTCTCTCCTCTCTCCAGGGCTCTTCCCCTCGCTCCAGCTGAGCAATGAGTTTTGGTTTGGAAGATGGAATTTCTATTCATAGGGAAGAAAATGAGGACATTGTTGGTTATGGGCTCAAGAGGGCATTCTAGAACTCAGAGCTGAAATGGGTGAGGCAACCCAGAGGATACAAAAGACCTATGAATAGTTCTGTCTCTGAAGTAGAAGGGTTGACTAAGGAAAGGTGACTCCAATCAGAAAGAGAGCATATTATGAACACTTGATGGATGAAAAATTTCCTGGGTTTGGAGCAAAATAAAGACAGAGCGCAAGCCTTGGGAAACACGTCTGGAAATGCAGTGTCATCCATAACATGAATAAAACAATCTATCTGCTTGCAATTCTACTAAATCCAGATTTACCCAGAGGAAAAAGGTAAATTGTTTTTAAGCTCAACTCTAAGGGAAAAGTGCTCTGCAGGTAGCCCTTCCTCACGATGAGTGGAAAATACTCTGTAGGGCAGAGTTTAAGTGCCAAAGGAGGCCATTCTTACCCAGTGAGACCAGGTGGTTATAAGTCTCCAGCATCACCTCCCTGTGCAGAGTCCTCTGAGCAGGGCTCAACAATCTCCACTCCTCCTGGGTGAAGTCCACAGCGACATCCCTGAATGCCACGAATGCCTTTAACACAAAACACACCGCTGCTCATCCAGGAGCCTGTTTTTCCCTCCCAGTTTAGAATGACAGGTCAAGGCCAGGCCCCGTGGCTCATGCCTGTAATCCCAGCACTTTGGGAGGCTGAGGTGGGCGGATCACCTGAGGTCGAGAGTTCAAGACCAGCCCTACCAACATGGAGAAACCCTGTCTCTACTAAAAATACAAAATTAGCCAGGCATGGTGGCACATGCCTGTAATCGCAGTTACTTGGGAGGCTTAGGCAGGAGAATTGCTTGAACTTGGGAGGCGGAGGTTGTAGTGAGCTGAGATTGTGCCATTGTACTCCATCCTGGGCAACAAGAGCAAAACTCCATCTAAAAAAAAAGACAGAAAGACAGAAAGGAAAGAAAGGAAGAAAGGAAGGAAGGAAGGAAGGAAGGAAGGAAGGAAGGAAGGAAGGAAGGAAGGAAGGAGAAAGAAAGAGGAAAGAAAGGAAAGAAAGAGGAAAGAAAGGAAAGAAAAGAAAGAAGAATGAGAGTTCGAAAGGCTTCCCTAAGGGAAGTAGAAAAGATTTCTACACCCTACTTTGGATTGTGACCTTGGCACCAAGGGGTGAAAGACCATTGTTCCTCTATCTCTGCCCAGCCAGCATCATTTATGCACCTATTACTTACTGTCAATATCCCAGGCTAGCTGCTATGGAGGATAAAAGCAAACAAAACCAAAGCCCTTACAAGATAGAGAGAGTTTTAAAACTAGGCAGGGAGAAGAAGACACCACACAAGCACAACTAAATAGTAAAGAATCATCTTGCTGAGTCTGAAAATTTTCTGAGACTACCTGGTCTCAGTATTTGTTCTACTTGAAGCAGTGGCGCCTCTGGAGTTTGGGGGCAAATAACTCACCAATATATATAGTTCCTACAGCAGGACTCACTCCTTCCTCTACCAAATGCTGCCACGTGCCTGCTCAGGCCTAAGGAGGGAAACTGGGTGGTGATGAAGAGTGTGGACTCAAACCACACTATCTGGATTTGGAACCCATCTCTGTCCCCAACTAGTGTAACCCCAGGCACTGAATTAGCTGCTCAGCACGTCAGTTTCTCCTGCGAACTAAAAATAACAGAGCTTATCTCAAAGGGTTGTGGTTAGGATTAGGATTACTGTGAAGGGCTCAGACAAAATGCCTGGTGCAGTCCCTGGTTGTTCTATGTAAAATTCCACACCCTCACGCGGGTTTCATTCCCCTCGCCTGCTTTACTGTGTTCCCTTAACTCTAAGATAATACATGATATTCATTTCTACTTTCTGACTTCCCACTAGACATCAGTTCCATGTGCATGGCTGGATCACTGTGATTGCCCTGGTGTCTACAACAGAATCTGCAAATACTTAGCAGTCAGATATTTTTAAATAGCCGAAAATGATTTATTATTATTAGACAAGCAACAAAGTTTCAAACGAACCTCTGCTACCTAGAAAGCTGTACTTTGGAGGATGGGAATATATAACCGTCCTTGGCATGGAAGTTCGGTGAGATTTCCAAATGAGTCTGGAAATCTAGCACTGGGATTCTTCCCTGCCCAACACTTACTCTCTTTGGGTACAATCTGTAGTCCATAGAGGGGTTTAATTTGACCATATACTGCTTTAAAACTTGTGTTTATATCAATTAAATGTTGGAAGATCTCATATGAAAATCTCAATCTGTGGGTTCTGTTAAAAGTCCATAAATCTGACCACCCTGGGCACTGCACTGCTATAGGACCACAGTTGGCTGATGGTGACTCATGCTGGGGGTCTATCAGCTGCAACACATTATTGGAGACTGCCTCACCAGTGTCATTCATTTAGGCATATGCCTTGTCTCTTTGATTTGATTTTGCATCCCGTTCTCAGAATGCCTCCATCACTCCTTGAGGGTAGGACATTGTGTCTCTAAAACTAATTCCACACTGTACCCTTCCCAGGGAATCCTCCCTACATTTCCTGTCCCCTACCAGCTCCATTATTCTACACTGGCTGGACTATGAAATGGCCTTAAGACTCTACCCATACCCAGTTATACTGATAGCTGTCTCCAAACCCAGCCACTCCCAATGCACTGAATCACAAGAGGAGGGCACAGATGAGTGACAGCTTTGGTTCTCACGTCTCATCTCTCTCTGGTTATACTTCACAGCTACCTGGGTGGTGTTTTAAATCATGGATTCTTGAGTCCCACCACAAATCAATAAAACCAGGGGGCCTGGGCGCGGTGGCTTACGCTTGTAATCCCAGCACTTTGGGAAGCCGAGGCGGGCGGATCAGGAGGCCATGAGATCGAGACCATCCTGGCTAACATAGTGAAACCCTGTCTCTACTAAAAATACAAAAAATTTGGCCGGGCGCGGTGGCTCAAGCCTGTAATCCCAGCACTTTGGGAGGCCGAGACGGGCGGATCACGAGGTCAGGAGATCGAGACCATCCTGGCTAACACGGTGAAACCCCGTCTCTACTAAAAAATACAAAAAACTAGCCGGGCGAGGTGGCGGGCGCCTGTAGTCCCAGCTACTCGGGAGGCTGAGGCAGGAGAATGGCGTAAACCCGGGAGGCGGAGCTTGCAGTGAGACGAGATCCGGCCACTGCACTCCAGCCTGGGCGACAGAGCGAGACTCCATCTCAAAAAAAAAAAAAAAAAATACAAAAAATTAGACGGGCATGGTGGCGGGTGCCTGTTGTCCCAGCTACTCAGGAATCTGAGGCAGGAGAATGGCGTGAACCCGGGAGGCGGAGCTGCAGTGAGCCAAGATGGTGCCACTGCACTCCAGCCTGGGCGACAGAGCTAGACTCCATCTCAAAAAATTATAATAATAAAAAAATAAAAAAACAGGGGATGGGGCTTTTGCACTTTTAAAGGTTCCTAAAAGTAGAGTGATAGTTGTGAATCACTGGGTCAGAGAAATTTCAAGAGGGAGAGGTCACGTAGGATTGAGGATCAGGAAAAGTTCATGAGAAGGAGGTACTCACTATTGAATCTAGGTGGTGGGTAAGTGAGTGTTCAATGTACAAGGCTTCCTGTTTTTTTCCTTATGTCTGAAACTGTTCATCATTAAACACGGGAGAGAAAAAGACTATTCAGGTACCTGCCTAGTCCCTGTTGTGATTTGCTTTTACAATCCCTTCTCAGAACATACACACATACACCCCTTGAAAATCTCCAATGAAGGAGCTACATTACAGAGCAACTAATGTTACTTTAACACATTTAACACAACCAGTTATTCCTCCAGCCCCGAAACAACTCATGGTTTGTCTGTAAACCATGCATGTAGGGGGCATTGTAAACACTGTATGGCTGACCCTCATGATCCACTCCAAATCTCTCCCACTGAGTAGAAACACAGCTAGAAGCTTGGGGGAGTTAACTCATCCACTTGCCAGCCGAAAAGTAAATATATGAAAAATGAATGGTAACCAACAGGCCACAAGAAGTCTTACTGCAGCAGTCTAGCAAAAGACATTTTCTGATTTGTAAGATGGAGTCACAGGAAGTCAGCACTTTTCCTGATGCTCAGAAACATGGGCGCAGATTACCCAAAAAAGGCAGCAGGGCTTAGTGCACTGGCTCAATGTGTGGTCCCTGAACCTGCAGCACTAGCATCCCCTGGGAACTTGTTAGAAATAAAAATTCTCAGTCCCCATCCTAGGGCTACTGAATCAGAAACTGCGGGAGGGAGCCCAGCAACATGTTTGAACAAGGTTTCCAAGTAATTCTGATGCACACTAAACTTTAACAACTACTCAGTGGCTAAGAGCACAAACTTTGGAGACAAACTGTTCAAATTACAGTCCCCTCTCTTAGTTATCTTATCTACTTAGATATCTTAGTATCTGTGTCTCAATTTCCTATAAAATTGATATTATAATAGTACTCACCTTATAGGGCCATTGTGAGAATTAAACAAAGTTGCTATTGGAAAACATCCTATGGCTTTGAGGGGAATCAGCCTGGATGAGGCTGACACTGTAGAGAACTGCGGAGATGAAAGAACCCCAGTCTTTGGTAAGCTTATGGAGCTGAAGGACCAACCCCAAAGTGCACCCTCTCTCTGAACTTCCTTTTATATGGGCTAAGTTACTTACTGTTTAGAACAACCTAAATTAGGTTTACTGTTGCCTGCGGCCAAAAGCATTGTATCTAACCAGTGGGTGGGTACAGTGATGGCCCCAATGAATCATGCCTCCCTGTTTCTACCCTTCATGCAATCTCCTCCTAAACTAACCCTGGGCTTGGCCATGGGACTTGCTTTATCCAGTGGGACATCAGCAAACATGATGCAAGCAGATGTTTGAGAGGCATTTGAGTTCAGGACTGGCCTCTCTGCGCAGGAAACCTTGAGACCACCATATGAATAACCTGAGCTTGCCTGCTGAAGAGGCCACATGGAGAAGAACC